ATACAAATTCGGAATTGTCTTCTCTCCGAAAAGGATAATATCCAAAAAATCGCGTAAAAATGTGATATATTAACATTTTCATTTTGACTTTTGTGGTGGCGAAACGGAATAGATGATATCGATATAATTTAACGCGATCACACCAAAGTTAAAAGATAATTACTTTTTCAAAATCGCTAAAAAATCACGAAAAAGAGATCTTATTGCAAAACTTCTCAAATCGAGAAAAAAATCTAAAAAAAAAAAAAATCAATGGAATCGAATTTTAAAATAATAGTACATTCTATTGACAAACTTTGTAAGGATCTTTAAATATTTGCTATAAAAATCAGCGAACAAGTTGAAGATTTTTTCAATTTGTTATTCTTCTTTTGTCAATTTCTTTCAATTTGTATTATCATATTGAATTAGGTGGATTTTTTGTGAACGAAATAAAGAATAATTTTTCACTATATACAATTTTTCACCAAAAAAAATGAAATAAGTGTGAAATAGGATGTTAACTGACATTTACCCTTCAACTCCAGGGCCTACATCGTGGTTCAGCTGGAAGATGCAAAAAAAATTAAACAACCAAAAATGACCGAAAAAGTCTAATGATGCTCATGTCAAAGCATGGACCTACTTCTTTCATGTGACAATAATCCGTCCAATTAGAGCTCAAAATGCAAAATTCTTTGGGAGTACAATCAGTAAAATACAAAATTTAAAGGGTGCAAAATAGTAGAGTGAAGGGGACTTTTAGTAAGAAAAGAATTTCCATCCTTCCAGAAATTCTTCCCAATCATTCAAGATACCTTAAATCGCTTTTGCATGTCTTGATATCGATCAAAACTCACGGATAAGGGTACAACCCGATTTCATATTTATATAACCATCTATGATTGAAGCTATTTTTGGGGTTTTGGCCTTTTTTAATTTTTTTTTTTTTTTTTGGCCCTTATTTGGCATTTTTGTTTCTAAGGGGGTAGAGAACCTCTTCGCATAAAATTTAACATTTTTAGAGTAGGGAGCCATCATACAGATAATTGGAATTTATTTAAGTAAAGCCCCCACATTGGAGTATCCCCAAGTCCACTTTCACATCTAATGTGTGGTCAGAAAAGAAAATTTTGTATTCTATTGAATTTGTAACCCCCAATAGAATATTGGTTGGGCCCTCATATGAATGTATCCCTGATTCCAGCTATGACTGTGGTCTTGGCCACGTTTTTCGACTGATTTGGTCATTATTTGCATCTTGGCTTTTCTATTTCGAGGGTCTTGACCACATTTTCCAATCGATTCTGCTGTATTTAGGCTACTTCGTGAGTAGAGAACCATCTTACAGAAAAAATGTCAACATACGTAAATATTTTGATACAGATTTTACCGATTTCCGGATGACAACACGGGCATTGTTTAATCGTCATTGAATTTTACTATGAACAAGAACATAGACTTTTTGGGGACGCTAATGCGCAATTTGAGGTGCTATGGTAATGGGTGTAAAAGCGTAATTAACTTTGACTATTCAGAAATTATTTTGCCCTCCTTCCATAGGTATTTATTTATATTTAGTCGGATCAATATTTATATTAACCTTTAACTTGTGAGGTGACATATTTTATTACGTGGTGGTAAATTTTACCCCTCTAAATTTTAAAGAAAAAAATTTTGTTAAAACTTTTATTTGATAATAATTTGTTTTTTAAAACAAATATATTATCAAATTTTGAATTACAATAAGGAAAAAAAAACATTTTTTTTTAATTTAAACAAAATTTTTATTCATTGTAATAGAAGAGAGAATTTCAAGAAAATTTGAAGGGAGGGTAAAATTTACCACCACCTCGGGAGTTAAAGGTAAAAATTTGTTCACCTTTATGAACTAGATTTGTGAAAAATTATGCTATATAAAATTTGCATTACAGACTAAAACTACGGGCCGGCAACGCGGACCGGGCCAGCTAGTTTGATATATTTCCCTGAATATCGTTGTTACGGAGTGCATATTACGGCTGTGGGTAACAAATATAACAAATCGGAGCTATAGCTATATCTGAACCGATCTTCACCAAATTTGACATACTAGCTTCTAGACTCAATTCGGTCGTACCAAATTCCTTCCCATTTGGGCAAATATTAGACGTTTGGTGCACAATAAAACGTAAATCGGTCGAAGTTTTATATGGGACTATATCCAAATCTGAACCGATCTAACCGATAAAATTTGGCATACTTATTTTCAAGCCTAATTTGGTTGTATGTGCAAAATTTCATACTATTCGGGCTGATATTACACGTTTGGTGCACAATAAAAAGCAAATCGGACGAAGATATATATGGGAGCTATATCTAAATTTTGACCGATTATCTCCAATGAAAATTTTCATCTGGATAGGGCAATAAATGCGAACTGTACTTTGTTTACAAAAATACATGGACAGACGGACGGACGGATATGCATAAATCGACTCAGAACTATGGGTCTATCTCGTTTCCTTTTGCCTGTTACAAACAAATGCACAAAAACATAATACCCTCACCACCTTGTGGTGTAGGGTATAAAAATATATTGTAATACTTGAATGAACTAGTTTTTACTGTTAGCTTAAAACCATTACAAGGGCGTTGTGGGTCAATGCTTCTTAATAAAATTATTTCCCAATCTCAACCGATTTCAATATAATTTGACTACATTTATTTTTGGTCCAAATTCCGTCACACCTTCCATATTTAATTGAAATTGGGGCGTCAAATACATGAAATCGGCCGATAATATATACATATATAGCAGCTATATCCAAATATTAACCGATTTTATGTTCATTTGTCAAATTTATTATTGTAACCAAATTCCGCCACCCATTCTGAATTTCATTGAAATCGGTCATATATGTCGTTTTTGGTGCATACATACATGAAATCGGCCGAAATATATATATATATATATATGGCAGCTATACCAAAACCTCAACCGATTTAAATATAATTTGACATTTTTTTGGTGCTAAATTTTGTCACTCATGCCGAATTTCATTGACGGGGGACATACGTATAGTGTTTGGTGCAGCTATATCCAAATCTGAACCGACTTGAATATAATTTGACAAATTTATTATTCTTCCAAGCCGAATTCGTTCGTATGTGCAAAAATACATTTAATTCGGACTTATATTAACCAGTTGGTGCACAATAAATTTGAAATCGAGTAAAGATATATATGTGAAGAACATCCAAATCTGTACCGATCTTGTTAAAATTTGACAAAGGAATTTCTGAGAAGTATTTGATATATTTCCACTAATATCGTTGTTACGAAGTACATATTGCGGTTGTGAAGGACTAACGTGACAAATATGTATTGGAGTTATAGCTGTATCTATACTGATTTGGATTAAATTCCATACTTATTTCTCGGCTCAACATGGTCACATACTCAAAATTCCATCATATTGGGATTAATATTACACATTTGGTGAACAATAAAAGGCAAATCAGACGAAGGTACATATGGGAGCTATATCTAAGTTTTGACCGAGTATATCCAATTTCAATAGGGTTCATCAAAGCCAAATTAACGATTTGTGCAAAATTTCATTTCGATCGGGCAATAAATGTAACCGGAGGCACGTACATGCATAAATCGACTCAGAATATGATTCTATGCAGATCATCGAAAGGAACTATTGGTCTATCTCGCTTCCTTCTCTATGTTAAAAACAAGTGCACAAAGACATAATACCCTTGCCCGATGTTTGTTTAATTCAATCACAGTATTGACAAAACACAATTGGTATGACAATTTTATATAAATTTTAACTTTAGAACTAATTGCTTGGTTTTAAATGTTTGTCGCATTAACTCGTTCAAGTTGAATGATACCGAGCCTAGGCTTTCAAATTCTTTTATAAATTGTCGGCAAGCTTCTTGCAGAATGCCACTCACTAATTCATTTAGATTGCTGGTCCCAATTACTAAAAATTTTTGTTTTTTCGTTATAGAAATATGGGAACGCACATCGTCGGTATTGTTTTCCATAAGCCTTATATTCTGATTTTGAGTGTAATTCTTATGATTTGAATTTTTATAAGCTCCACCATACTATGGAGGGTATACTAATTTTTTCATTCCGTTTGTAACTCCTCGAAATACTCATGTCAGACCCAACAAAGTATATATATTCTTGATCAGCGTAAAATTTTAAGACGATTTAGCCATGTCCGTCTATCTGTCTGTCTGTCTGTTGTAATCACGCTATCTTTCGAAAAAATTGAGATAGAAGGCTAAAATTTTGCACACACGTATATTTTGCCAGTAGGCAGGTTAAGTTCGTAAATGGGCTATGTAGGTCCAATTTGTCATCTAGCCCCCATTTATCGTTACCTCCCGATATTCGGTATTTTGATGATTTTAGCGACATTATTCACCGGAATTGTTTCAAATTTGGGATTTGAATGTAATGGAGTCCCGGTAAATAATGTCGCTAAAATCATCAAAAAAAAGTTCATAATGGATACTTCAGCCCATGCCAGAAAATTGTCTGTGCAGGTATTTTGATGATTTTAGCTACATTATAAACAGATTTTTCTTCAAGTTTCGCATTTAAATATTGTAATAACTTATGACAAAAGTTGCCTATGCAGGCCCACGTCGTCGTATAAGCATTCGGTATTTTTAAGATTTTAACAGAATTTTCAACGGATTTTATTATTATTATTTTTTTTTTTTTTTTGGAAATTGCCAAATTTGTACCAAATGGTGGAGTGGAAAGTTCGGCCCGGCGAAATTTCAGCTTATTAACTTGTTAAGAATAATAATGGAGGCGTGTCTGTTCGAAGAAAAAGTTTTAGTTTCATAAAAAGTTATTTCTTTAATATGATACATATCCACATTACTGACACACTTTTAAAATTATTACACAATTTTAGAAAGAAAACTGTAAAAATCACAAATATGCCAAATCTCATGGAACACCTATCATAACACCGACTATATATCTTTAATATAAAGCATACCTCTTCAACCAGGTTACATATTTATTTGAACCTTCATCTTGCAGTTGTTTGTTTCTCTCGCTCGTCTCATTAAACTCGGGATTAGCTGCAGCGCCTATACGTTTTATTGCCCATGCTTTCGATGCTTTTTTATACATAGCCGAAGAAATTTGATTGACCAAGTATTCTGATAACATGTAGTTTTTCATCATCTGTCTTTTATTTTAAAAATAAGTAATTTTGTATGAAAGAATCAATCGACACATCTTTATTTAGTACTCACCTGTGAAATTTCATAGTTTTTACAGCTAAATCAAGATCAGAACTACTAAGACATTCCGTTCCAAGTGAGATGTTTTTTTTATCATATCCATTATTATTTGAATATAAAAATGGATCTGATATTTTAATGTTGTTGCTTAAGATACTGTTGACGTCCAATGTGAGAACGTTTAAGTCGCTGCTTTGAATTTTGGCCTGCAATAGTGGAGCCAGCAAATTCACGACTGTGAACACCAAACCGATTTGATCATTAAAACCTGTTTTTGTTGCAAGCATTTTGGTTGCGGAATTAAATACAATATTAACGTTGTTCGTGCGTACTGGCGAAAAACATTTGTATGCATTCCTCAGTGGTCCAACTCTTTTTAAAGAAACGTATGTGTCACGGTTAATGAACAAAGACAATTTATGCTCTACTTATGAAATGATTTCATTGCACTAAGAGTATTCGGAGCAAATCCATTAATAAACTAGTAAAGAAAGTCCTAAAGTCGGGCGGGGCCGATTTTATGATACCCTACACCACTTTGCTAATTTAGTTGAGCTCCACTTAATATTTAAAAGTTTTTATGGGAGAATTCAATTATACACGCTATGATTATAATTATAATTTAAAATTCAAAGGACTAAATATGCCGAAGCATTTGTATCTTTTAAATTCGGACTTGTATTGCCCATTTGGTGCGAAATTAATTTGAAATCGGATAAAAATATATATGGGAACTATATCCAAATCTGAACCGATCTCGATAAAATTTGGCAAAGATATTTCTGAGCTGTATTTGATATATTTCCCTGAATATCGTTGTTACGGAGTGCATATTACGGCTGTGGGTAACAAATACAATAAATCGGATGAACAATATATATGGGAGCTATAACTATATCTGAACCGATCTTCACCAAATTTGACATACTAGCTTCTAGACTCAATTCGGTCAGTGTGCCAAATTCCATACCATTTGGACAAATATTAGACGTTTGGTGCACAATAAAAGGTAAATTGGACGAAGTTATATATGTGAGCTATATCCAAATCTGAACCGATCCCGATAAAATTTAGCAAATGTATTTATGAGCTGCATTTGATATATTTCCCCAAATATTGTTGTTGCAGAGTGCATATTATGGCGGCGGTGGACAAAAATAACAAATCGGATGCACAATATATATGGGAGCTATAGCTATATCTGAACCGATTTCGATCAAATTTGGCATACATATTTTCAGACCTAATTTGGGTGAATAGGCTGATATTACACGTTTGGTGCACAATACAAGGCAAATCGGACGAAGATATATATGGGAGCTATATCTAAATTTTGACCGATTATTTCCAATTTCAATAGGCTTCGTCCTTGAGCCAAACAAATGATCTGTGCAAAATTTCATCTGGATCGGGCAATAAATGCGACCTGTACTTTGTTTACAAAAATACATGGACAGACGGACGGACTGGCATGCATAAATCGACTCAGAATGTGATTCTATGCAGATCATCAAAAGGAACTATGGGTCTATCTCGTTTCCTTCTGCCTGTTACAAACAAATGCACAAAGACATAATACCCTGACCACCTTGTGGTGTAGGGTATAAATATAACATTTGATGAACATGTTAGTTTGTAACTAGGTGACAGTTTAAGCAATGTCATGTGTGAAAGTAATAGTCGTTAAAGTCAATCCAAATATTAAAAATAATTAATGGCAACGTCAACATTTTAGTTTATGGCTCAAATCAATAAATGTTTATAGATAGAAACGATGTTGTATCGTATTTTCGTATTTATTGTTTACTTACAACTAATTTAATCGATGTTGTGGAGCAGATAGTATCTTTGGATGTAACCTTTTAAGATTAATACCTTTTACCAGTTATCGTTACTCTACCATATACATTTCTAAGGAGAATGTTGCCCTTTTACCACCAAATAATTGAATGGGATCTATGGAAACTATCAAAATCAAAACTATCAAAAATTCTTACGTTAAACTCTCTCTCGCCAAAATGCCTAATTATTTGATTTCTGGCATACCTTGTTGTTGTAGCAGTAGTACCTGCATGTGTTTGCGTTCTGATAATCTGGTTACAGCTCCAATTAAAGAGGTGCAGCGTATTGTGCGGGCCTGTATCACAAGCCGGGCAGGCGTCACGCACATCTTCATCAATTCGTGCCCAATACGAATTGAGACGACTACACCATCTTGAACGTAATTAGTCCAAAATTACCCTGGTTTGTCTAGGCAGCTGTCGTTGTTCAGCTGCAATGGGAGGTGGACTCCGAGGACGGCATTCATTTTATAGTTGCTAATAGCATCGACGACTGCATCGGTATGAATGTCACTCAGACCTGCCTTGATTTAGAGGTTCTCTCTTGTAGCGCTGGACCTCCCCCTCTAGATCATGTATGTCCTTCCTGACACGCCTGGGTGGGGGAGATTTTGGTTGGGATGACTCTCACGGTAACACCCAAGCAGGTACTGCAATGAAAGCATATGATTATGCTGACGTAAGAGAAGGACTTTCGCCTCCTCATGTAGATGGTCCACTGGTGTCATGAGAAGGCACCCTGTCGCAGTTCTCAGGACAGCGTTCGGCAGGTCTGGATATGCTTCCACTGCGTAGCACTAGTATTCGCAGACCACACTGGAGCCGCATAGCTGACCACAGACCGACCTATCGCGTTATAAGAGGTCAACAAGGTTTCTTTGTCCGCACCCCAAGAGCTGCCGGCTAGCGCCTTGAGAACCTTGTTCCTACTTTTCATCTTGTTGCAGATAGCTGTGGCTTGCGCGGACGACTTGAACATGCTGTCGAACGTGACCCCAAGAATCTTGGGATAGTTCGTGGTCGGTATTAGATTCCCCTCGACCTGACCATTCAGCTGTGTTCTCATCTCCGCAGACCATGTCGTAAAGAGTGAGGCCGTTGATTTCGTGGCGGATATTTTCATATTCCTCACGTGGAAGTATGCGGTAAGTTCCGCGAGATAGGGGTTCAGCCTTTCGCATATGTTATCGACCACTGGACCCGACGCCATGATCGTACAATCATCCGCATACGTTAAGATCTCAATGCCGTCTGGAGGGCGAGGAATTCCGGAAAGGTAAAGGTTAAACAGTTCCGGAGATATCACCCCACCTTGGGGAACTCCCTGTTTCACTCTACGGGTTTTGGACTTCTTGTTCCGGAATTCCACGTACGACCACACATATAGTTGATTATCCAACGTTTTAAACTTGGCCAGAGGGTAGTACTCTGCACGTCCTCAAACAGTATGACATTATTGACCGTATCAAATGCCTTTGATGGTTCAAGGGCTACCAACACTGTTCTGTCACACGGCCTGTTCTGGTTCAGTCCTCGACTGATATGTTTGGAAATGGTGTGTAATGCTGTCGTGGTAATATGTTGTGGACGAAATCTGTGCTGGTGGTTGGCAACTGTATAGCTTCCTCTAATGCTGGGAAGGAGTAAAGCTTCAAGAGTCTTAGCTACTGGCGACAAAAGCGAAATCGGCCTTTACGATTCGCCTTTACAGGCATCCTTGCCTGGCTTCGGTTAAAATACAGCTCTTCGGATCAGTCACCGTTACGCCTTTAAAAGTGACTGAGGTCCTATCATCCTTTTTCCCGGGGTTCGAGAGGGACTTAACCGTTACCCACAGCTTACTCATATCGATTCCAATGTCGCAACACTTCAGATGGTCAAGCCACTTTTTCCTCTTATGCTCCTGTACCAACCGGTTGACTTCCACTGACAAATCACTGATTCTAGGATCAGTAGGGTTGGTACGACGGAGCTCATCACGCTCGTTTGCTATTTCCCGTTAATTTTGGTCTTATCTCGAGAATTCGACCTGCAGGTATATAGCGAGCTGCTGCAGCTTTGATGATGTTTCGGATAATCCTTTCTGCTACCCGAACATCAGAAGGGTGGGGCAGTTCTCTGAAGCGGCGGTTGGTGAATTTTATGAACTCTGGCCAGTGAGCTTTCCCATGGTTAAGGAAAGTGCGGCGTTCAGAGATTATGAAATCGGGCGACCAGCTTATGGAGACGATTATCGGGAGATGGTATGAGCCAAGAGAAATGACGGGTTGCCAAGTCACGTCATTTATCAGACCGGGTGAGACTATGGTTAAGTCTGGTGAACTGTAACACTCTCCTCTTATTCGGGTGGGGGCATCCTCGTTAACCGTGCAGAATGTGGAGCAGTCAATCGGCTCTGCCAACGCTTATCCACTCTGGTCATTACCTAGGACGGAATGCCACAACTCATGGTGGGCATTAAAATCCCCTAGGTTATTGCCTACCAACAATGGGCTAATATCAAGCAAATAACGCCGTTCACAGCTATTAATCGGCGGGATCTACACATTAAGCACCTCTACCTCGGCAGTTCCAAGCGAGATAGGTCTGTACTGAACAGAATGGTGTAACAGGAACGCTAGCCCCCCACCTCCACTTCTGGTGCGATTCTTCCATAGTACGTTGTAACTATAACAACGTTGTAGGCTGCAATTTTCATTCAGCTTGGTTTCCTTCACCGCTGCGATTTTAATATTCCTCCGACTCATAAATTCCACTATCTCATCTATTTTGCCTCGGAGTCCGTTGCAATTGAATTGCAAGAATGATGCACAATCCGAAGTTGGAACAGCAACATGTGGTGTTAGGTGCGGCGGTCTTGGTTGCTGTTCTGGAGACTGCGGTGGAGTGCCATACTCCGACGACGTCTCTGATGAGGACGACAAAGAAGTGGACTCGCTGGAAATTACGTTACTGCAGCAGTCGCAACATAATCCCTTTCGTAGTCTCGCAAACGCCTTAGTCCGGAACAGTTCTTAAAGTGCACCCATTCTCTACATCCATTACATTGCACCGAAACAGATCTGTGGTGGATGACGTTCTGACAAACCGAGCAGAACCAAGGTCCGTGTTTTTCTTCAATCCCGGCACGGACCAATAAAATCCTACTTTTATACTCCGGTTCGGCCCGGCTTCGGGAGATACCGTTATATGGGAGATATACGAAGACGTGAACCTCCACATACAATTTTTCGTCATAGGTTGTGGTACCCATTACAAACTTTAGATACGAAATTTGAAACAATTCCGGTGAAAATGTCGCAAAAATCAAGAAAATACCGTATATCTGAGGGTATTGTTACATGGTTGCTGTAATAAAACGTGGACCTATGTTGACAATTCTTTTTCAAGGGGGTAAAGTACTCAGAAGGAACTCTTTTGTCGATTGACAAATTTGGCTACAATTATCAAAATATCGAATATCAGAAGGAACCGATATAAAGGGGATATATGATATCGTGGAACCATATAGACAATTCTTTTCCAGGGGGTAGAGTACTCACAAGGAACTCTTTTTGTGGATTTTAAACAATTCTATTGAAAAATGCGGCTAAAATGTAGGTGGTACCCTCATATGGGCGCTATACGATATTGTGGACTAATATAGACCATCTTCGTACTTGACCTGCCTGCAGACAAAAGACAGATCTGTGCAAAATATTACCTTCCTATCTTAATTCTACTTAATATACTCTTCATACTATGTGTGGTAGAAGGTATAAAAATATTAATCGTTGTTATATGAAACTAGCTCATATATTTTAAAACATAATAATTCGCAGATCTGGCTTATATAGGTGGCAAAAATTTAATTATATAATATTTTTTTATTATATAATGACTAATGACTTAAAAAACCCTAAATGATATAGCAAATCTATTAAAATATATAATCATTATGGTGTTCCTCCTTTAAATCTCTCTCATTGTCTTTAATTTTATCATCAGTCAAAATTAAGGGTGAGTCAAGTAACCTCACCACTGATTTTTAAAGAGACAATTATTTTTTTAGTTAAGATTTCTCAGGAACGCAAGAGAAACTTATTTAAAAAGAACAAAGAAAGCAAAAACAAGCAAAACAAATAACTAGATCGAAGTACATTCAAAAATCAGTTGATTTTTCTCAGGATTTTGTAAATAAAACAAAAAGGCAAAAAATACGGCACGTGTTATTTTGCTGATTACGAAAGATGGCATTCTATACTAAAATACAAAATTAAAATTTTAGGACCTTCTCAATATTATTTTTTTAAACTCCATATACTATTCGGAAAAGGCGAAAATATGGTCATATTTTTAATTAGTAATTTTGAAATATATGACGTATGATCTTCGGTACTGAAGTAGAATTTTGCATTCTATAATAGTTTAAAAACTTACATACAAAGGCATTGTTTGTCATAAGCCATTACAATATTCAAATTCGAAATTTGAAATAAAACGGTGAATAATGTAGCTAAAATCATCAAATAATCGTACATAGGGAGGTAACGTTATATCGGAGCTGTGCGAAAACCTGGGCCAGCATAGACAATTTTCTATCACAGGCTGTAACATCCGTTACGAACTTCAAATACGACATCTCAAACACATTCGGTGGGATTTGTACCTAAACTTGTCAAAATACCGAATATAGGGAGGTACTGATATATGGGGACTATACGAAGACCTGGACCTGCATAGACAGTTTTCTGTCACAAACTTCAAATAACAAATTTGAAACCATTCCGGTGAATAATGTCGCTAAAATCATCAAAATACCGAATATCGGAAGGTACCGTTATATGGGGGCTATACGAAGACGTGGTCCTACATAGCCCATTTACGAACTTAACCTGCCCATTGGAAAAATAAACATGTGTGCAAAATTTTAGCCTTCTATCTCAATTCATTCGAAAGATAACGTGATTACAACAGACAGACGGACATGGCTAAATCGACTTAGAATTTTACGCTGATCAAGAATATATATACTTTTTTGGGTCTGACATGACTATTTCGAGGAGTTTTCAAACGAAATGACAAAGTTAATATACCCTCCATAGAATGGTAGAGGGTATAAAAAATATAAAATATAATATCAGTGATTATACTCAAACGTGGAGCAGCATGACCCATATTTTGTACAAACGATTCTACTTTCGTGATTTTTATCTACTAACCGAATACTATCCACTTAGAATTTCCCTAGATTGGCTGTTGCACGATGTAATTACTCGGTATTGCGCTCAGCCCCCCGTTTACCGGTACCAACGATTTAAGTATCTTAAAGGTTTCGGAAGAATTTACAGAGGATCCTGGGGTTGGAAAGATAGATGCCAATTCTAGTCCGGAAAGATCATCATTTAACATCGTATCGTAACACCATTCAACATCGTAATTTTCTCCATCTTACATTCTGATTTCAAAACAAACCAAAAAATAAAAAATGTACACTATAAAAAATGTGCAAAATAAAGCATGTCACATTGAAAAAAATTAATTAAAAAATATGTCCCAAAAACATTTTTTATCCACATTGTTATTGACTTACTCTACGATGTTATACTTTTCTGTCATAATACCATTTATCTATATAGGTCCTAGCTTTACTATATTCCCCATACCTCCCCACTTTGGGTATTTTCATTGTAAACTTTATAAACTAGCAATATATAACAATAGAAAATATATATAATGATACAAACTTCATAGAAAGGACAGGGCATGATCTCTCTAATGAATTTTCGACGTCGGCAGGAGTAAAACAAGGTTGTTTACTGTCCCCATTGCTGTTTGCGTTATACTTAGACGACATACAGGAATTCATTGGCGACGAAATTGAGATTGATGACCCAAATATAAGAATACTGCTTAATGCAGATGATATAGTAATATGAGTATCGAAGAAGAGTATTATGATATAAGAAGAAGTCAAAATCAATGATATTCAGAAAAGGTGAAAAAATGGCGAAATAAAAAATGGCTTTACAAAACTGAACCAATAACAATTACCTCGGAATTTACATATATTGGGATATTATCGACACAAAAATTATCTTCCAACAAGTAAAAAAGCAGTAGTGAATACCCTCCACCATTTGGAAAGAATAAGAAAATTAAAAAAAAAAACATCCATTAAAATGTTTTAAATACTTAATATCGGAAGGTGCCGATATTTGGGGGATATGCGATATCGTGGACCTATATAGACAATAATCGGAAGGTGTCGTTATATGGGGGCCATACGATATCGTGGACCAATACAGACAGTTCTCTTTCAGGGGATAAAGTACTCACAAAGAATTCCTTGTGTAGAATTCCGTTAAAAATGTGGCTAAAGTCATCAAAATACCGAATATCGGGAGTACCATTATATGAGGGCTGTATGATCTCGTGGACCTATATAGATAATTGTCTTTTAAGGGATAAAGTACTCACAAGGAACTCCTCGGATAATTCCATTGAAAAATGTGGCTAAATCATGAAAATACCGAATATCGGGGGGTACCGTTGTATGGGGGATATACGATATTATGGACCTATATAGACAATTCCCTTTCAGGGGGTTAAGTGATCACAAAGAACTTCTTGTGTGGATTTTCAGACAATACCATTGGAAATAATGGCTAAAATCATCAAAATACCAAATATCGGGGGGTACCGTTATATGGGGGATATACGATATCGTTAGAATATATAGATAATTCTCTGTCAGGGGGTAAAGTGCTCACAAAGAACCCCTTGTGTACAATTCCAGACAATTCTGTTGAAAAATGTGGTTAAAAGTGTCAAAATACCTAATATCGGGGGTACCGTTATATGGGAGCTATGCGATACCGTGGACTTTTATAGACAATTCTCTTTCAGGGGATAAAGTACTCACAAGGAACTTCTTGTGAGAATTCAGACAATTTCATTGAAAAATGTGAGTGAAATCATCAAAATACCGAAATACCGTAGACCTATATAGATAATTCTCTTTCAAGGGATAAAGTACCCACAAGGAACTCCTTATGTGGATTTTCAGACAATTCCGTTGAAAATGTGGGTAAAATCATCAAAATACCGAATATCGGGGCACCGTTATATGGGGACTACACGATATCGTGGTCCTATATAGATAATTCTTTTCCATGGGATAAATTACTCACAAGGAACTCCTTGTGTGGATTTTCAGACAATTCCGTTGAAAAATGTTCTACAAAAACAGATTACGGAGCAAGAGATATTCGTGAACTCTTAGTGCAAAACGATGTTGAACTATTTGATTTCAACAGTAGCAAAAGCGAAGTCATCGAACAAAAATACCACCTTTTAAAAGCAACATCACAAATATTGGTGTGATGCCATATATACAGCCAATCAAACGACCCGAATTTACTTGAAGCTAGCTACATCAGTAGGTCAAATTTAATTTATTTCATAGAAGCAATTGTGGATTTTGAAGATTTTACCTGCATTTTGCACATCTCCAACCGATTTCACTGGATTTGCAATTTCACATCAATCTCGTTTGAATAAAGGGGGATTCTACTTAGATTGTTCATCTGAATAATAGGTCTATGTTTTCTCATTTTATTTGTTACAAACAAATAATAAGATGGACCTATTCTTCAGCTTGACGATCTAAGTAGAATCCCATTCTGAGTTAAATATAGAAAAAGCTTTCAAATATAAAAAAAATTTAACCAGGGTCGTTCGTATTCGAAAGCCAATATGCCAATAATTCCATATCCATTATTATACCCTCCATCTTGGATTGTAGAACATTAAATTTGCCACTATGTTTGTAACGCCTCTAAATATTCGTCGAAGATCCCATAATGTATATACATATATTTTATGTCTATTTAACGATGTCCTTCCGTTGAAATCACATGTACAGACCATATTATTTGACGTAGAGCTTTGAACTTTGGCACAATAGTTTCGGTATTTGTAGTTCATAATGGGTTGTCCACTCAGTGTTAAAACTTTGTTAATATCGGTCTACGATTTCCATATAACGGTACCAAACAACGTCTTCTTTCGTATTTTTTGTTAAAAACCCCAAAAATACAATGGGGAAAAAAGCGTTTGTTATGTGCCACCTACTTCGGCACTCTGGTGGGGTTCCCTATCAGGGGGATCCTTAACCCTTACCACCAGCAGTCCTAGGGGCTTAACAACTAGAAACGGAAGTTGGTCTTAATAAAGGACAAAACAACAATTGAAACAACACACCACACGAACATGACAAGGGAACTTGATGGCATTTATCCCCACACATAGCCCGCCCAACCTTGACCCTTTGATCCATAAACACAAATTTTAAAAGGGCCCCAAATTCCACACACACTTACCTAACGCGAAAACTACATCCTAGTATCCTCTCTCACAAACAAAAATTAGCACATCAAAAATTACAAAAATTTAATAAGGACAACACACAATTAAAACTTAAAATACATCAATCTAAAACTAGTATTACTTTATATAATTAATTTCTTTTTTTATCTTCTTCTTTTTTAGGTTAAAAGTTCATTGGGTTTTAAGACGGCAAGGAAAATTCAAAATTTCTGCACGGTGTGTCACAAAAATGTTACCTGGTCATCCCGGATACAACAAAAAGAGCATCACCACAGGCTAACGGGGATTTACCAGTTACTTATGCCGCTCCTCGGACTGGTAAAATTTTTGAATCTGGATTTTTGTCCAATTAAATTATTGAAAAATCTGCCCTCCTCCCGTTTGGAAAATTGAGGGGGACAGTCAAATCGTTGTTAACTGTTGTGGTGCAATCTTAAAAGACAAAAGAAAACCAACCGAGCACCAGTCAGTAACAGACAAAATTAAGATTCACCATCAACACTTTATCAAGCTTTAGCGCGTTTCCCTACTTGCCCTCCATTTATACCCTCGGTGAAGCTGTTAGTTGGAATTTCCACTACTTTCCAAAAAATGTCTGTCTTTTTCATTGTTTGTTTACTTTATTTTTGCCACTGGTACTACTAAACCTATGATATTAATCAGGGCTGTATTTATGCTACTGTCACCATACCTCTTTGACTGACCAAATACATCCCTGATGTGGCATCACCTTTTTTTTGGTCTGGCATGTTGTACTGACCGTTTCCGCTTCATTTTTAAACCGGTGGCGGACGACGTACTTGGTTCGCCGAAATGTTGCCAGTAGTTTTCCTCAAAAAAAAACTTAAAAATTATTCAGCAGTAAGTCACGCGCAACAATACTTCGCCATTTTCATTTCACTCAATGAAAATGGTGATGTGCGTGATGGGGAAAATGTGAAATAAATGAAAGCAGTCGTATTTGGAATACGGAATACAGGTAAGCAATTGCAAAATTATTCGTCATATACAATATTTAACAGGTATTTTTCTTCTACAGGTAAAGCAGATTTTCTTCAATGAGAAAAACTCGTGTTTGCCATTGGTAAGCTTGTGCGTATATATCGCAAAAAAAATGGTGGCGTGGTTTTACGCACACATACGTTTATACGCACATGAACCCTTTCAACACTCGGCGTTGTCAATGCTGTTTCATTGTGTCTCAATTAAAGGCCTGCACAAGACGAATTGTATGAATTAGCTGTTTTCGACACACTGACTTTGTCTACCCAATCATGCGCTATGTATTTGAGAGGCAATGACAACCAACAACACCCCCCATTTTGATTCATGTGTGCCATTGTCTAAGGTTCGATCGTGGCATGGCTGACTCGAATATTTGCATGGTGTTCTCATGGCATTGTGTGTCATTTGTGTACGTGTGCTTAAATTGAGAGAGTGTGTGTGTGTGTTACTTTTGACGGTGAGGGTGTGTTTTTGTGTGTGCTGTAATTTTGAAGTAAGAAACACCGCGTTCACATAAAATTGAGTTCAATAACAAAATGTACATAGACATAAACAAATGAATAGAAAAAATGGAATATATTCTGAATAATCCCAATTTATTGGTGATTATCATAAAATTTTGGTCATAAAAAACAGGTAAATATAGTTTGCCTATTTCTACATATAGTGTTCTTTTAAAATTAAAGTTTGGGGGCAGAGATTTGACTCTCATTCAATAACAGAATGTGCACAGAATTGAACAATGGAAGTATATAGAGTTGTTACATGAATTACAGTAGCACTCATTCTCATTTACAACTCACTACCGGAGGCAAACATTTATGAAATTATAATCAAAATAAGAAAATTTTTCAGGGGATTATTGTTTTAATAAGGATGAACATTTTGCGTTTGATCAAACAGGGCACAATATGACGAGCGTTTTCTATCCATGGCATAAATCTCTCAATGCAGTCAATGCAGAATGCCTTTACACACATGCCTGTTGTCATCGGCAGAATTACTTCGTACACACAGCTGCCGGCAATGGCAGAATTTCTGTACGCATACCGATGTTAGCATTGGCAGAACTATTAAACACACATCGCTGTCGGCAGCGTTATTACACGATTATCGTAATATGTGTGTTGTCGTATGAAGGGTCTACCATTTTATTCACACGGAACAACAGGCCATAAAAGAATGGTAATTAAGAGTTATTCATTTGGCAGACGAACATATTATTTTTTTTTAATTGATTGTACTTTATGTTGTTTATATTTATATTTTATTTCAGGAATTTTATATATGAAGATAAACTTCAATTGGCGTATTCGGTATTCCAGATTACTTTCTTTTTTTAATTGATTGTACTTTATGTGGTTTATATTTTTTTATTTTATTTCAGGAATTTTATATATGAAGATACTCTTCAATTGGCGTATTCGGTATTTCAGATTACTTACTTTTTTTAATTGATCATAAAGTACGATCAATTAAAAAAAGTAAGTAATCTGTTTATATTTTTATTTTATTTCAGGAATTTTATATATGAAGATACTCTTCAATTGGCGTACTCTGTATTTCAGATTTTTATTGTCCATTAAATTCAATTACATATATGACCCATTCATTGTGTGTTATGTTATAGTTATGTACACATGGCGGTTGGCGTGGCTTATTAGGCCGACTATAACCATATGCTGATTGGAACATATGGTGGCATGAGTTTTATGGGCGACGTACGTGAAAAAGGTATATTCGTTTACTCTGTGTGTTTATTTTTTTTACAATTTTATTGTTATTTTCTTTGCCGGTATCGGTCTTTGCTGAAGTTTCCCCAACTACCTGTTGGGTAGTTACCCTCGTCTCCTATGTGCGTGTTTTATATTATGGGACAAGCAGTAAAATAGGACCTTTTCGTGTTTCAAACTGTAAACATTTATGGCAAAGTGTCTCAACCTTAAATACGGGTGAGTAATGTGGTGTTCTTTCGGTTTTAGAGTGTGTATTTACAAGTGACAATTTTCCATGTTAACCAAAAGAAGTGTTGTGTTACCTGGTAACAGGATAATGTGAATTTTTAACAAACATCAATATTTATTCTACAATTAAAACTCGGTAGCAGTAATTAAAACCAATCATGACAATTTGTTGGCGATCGTGTTGGCCAATACCAAATAAGCATAATAATGAAACTTTAATATGCATGATTAAAGCAAACATCTTTTTACGATATCGATGTGATAAAGTAGATATATTATAATTTATCATGGGCCAGATGCGGCAATGGGAATGAAAGTAAATTTATCTCATGTGGTCTTGTGAAATTGAAGTGTATGATTATAATAATAATATCCATAAACAAAACAAATAATTTTTATATATTTGTTTGTATCCATTTAGTATTTAATATAATTCAACCTAAATTGTTTTATGAAGATTTTTTGAGTGTTGTTGTATCCGAATTAAAACATTTATTCCCGAACGGATTTTTCACTTTATTAATTCACAATTTATCTCTTCTTTAGGTTATTTTTCGCTTTTGCTTGTGCAGCAACATGAAATTATTGTGTTCCTGCAACTGTGTTCCTGCAACACATCACATATAAATGTTAGTGACACACAATATGCCAACTACCTGCATTGCATAACCCGGATCAACATCTTAATATTTTGGAAAAGAAGGTGCTAAACCAAATAAAAAGAATATTTATAAACAGGTGAGTTTTGTGTGAACAGGTACTGACTTTGAATGGACAAAAAAATATGGTGGCTTCAAAGTGATTACGAAATGAACAATATACATATACATTGACAATTATGTGTTAACTATTTATTTATTATTGTGGTTGTTTATATATTTATGGTGATACATTAAAAAAAATTTAATCAATTTTTTAGAGATAAAATCAAAATGTTATTTTTATTAAAATGCCTTCATTAATTTGCCTTGCTTCTCCGATCATATTTTCCATTTCAAAAAAATATAATTATATTTTTCTGTGGGTCAATATCTCACTATTGGTTTCAGTCTACGTGACTATTTTAATGTGTGCTTTGTATCTTAACACTTTTTAATTACTCTTTTTCAATTAATTTAGTATATTGGGGGTTGTTTCATTTGTTATTGTTAACATGTAACTTCCTTTTATGGGACCAACCCGGGGAACTCCCACACCCTGAAGTCTCAAAGCCGGGTAATCAAGCACATTTCATAGCCTAATATAAAATATAAAAAGGTATCAATAATCGCTAATAATAATTAAATGCAAAAGGCAAATGGTCGTTCACGAACATACATTTCCTTAATCTATATTGCACTTGTATTGTTATCACAGAATTATTGCACTTCTTATATTTTAATGTCTTTGGCATGGAAATTACCTAGAGGCTTGCCCTGTAGTGTTTCAAGTTCGTACATATTGTTAGCGATTGGCTTGACAATCCTACATTTCAGAAACTGGTTTCATATGCTTGATGCATGTTGTTCTTTATCTGCTCTCGCATTACTTCTAGCCGATCATTTTTGTTTAGCTGTTCTATTTGGTGTTCGGTGAGGGATTTTAATCTTCTAGCCAGTTTATAATCTGTTCCACTGGTAAACATGTTATACCCGAATAGGGCGAAGAATGGGTTTACACCAGTGGCAGAATGTACAGCGGTTCTCAGTGTTTGTTCTATTTATGGTAAAAATAAGTCCCAATCCCGGTGGTCACTTTGAACATATGTTCTAATTGCTGCCAGTACGTATTGATTTACACGCTCCGAAGCATTGGATTGGGGAGCATAGTAGGCGGTTGTTAGGTGGTGTATTTTATAATTTTTCATCATTTCTTCAAATGCTTCCCATTGCCACTATGATGTACGCGTTACCCTTTTTTGATCGTGGGTACTTTCCGAGAAAGTCCACATACAATTTTTGGAACGGTCTATCGGTGATCACTTCGTTTCCAATGGTAGGATTTAGATGTCGGTTTGAGGACTTTGTTTCTTTGCAAATGTCGCAATTTTTCACGTACTGTCTCACTTGTGAGGCCATTTTTGGCCAGTAGTACCAGGTTCTTAATCGGTCTAGATTTTTGTTGTTCCATTCGAATTCTATCAAGTCTGGATCTACATTGGGCTTTCTTTTATAAATTTTATCGCCTTCGACTTTCAAATCTGGCAATGCTTCTTTATTTTTGAGAATATTTTCCCTAAGCTCTACATAATCTTCGCTCTCAAAAGCTGTTGTTTCGAAGTTAAGTAAATCATTATCAAGATATATTTCCTCCATAACCATATCGGAGTCAATAGGCATTCGCGATAGGGTGTCCGCCACAACGTTTTCTGACCCCTTTTTATGTTCGATAGAAAAATCGTAGGTTTGTAGCTGCAATGACCATCGTGCCAATCTACCACTCAGATCTTTTAGTGACATTAGCCACTTTAGGCTGGCGGGGTGGGTAATTATGGTAAACTTCATAAGCATCTTTTCACCGCAAGCACAGATGCTAAACATTCCTTTTCCGTTACCGTATAGTTTCTTTGGCAGTTATTTAATTTCTGGGAATAAAACGCAAATGGGTTTTCTTCTCCATTATCATTTTTTTGAAAAAGAACTGCCCCTACGCCATATTCTGATGCATCGCATTGTACATAAAATTCTCTGCGGAAATCAGGATGTCTGAGGACAGGGGCTGACGCTAGGGCCTGCTTGAGAGTTTTAAAGGCTTTCGGAGTCATCGCGAATTTTTGACCTTTCTTAAGGGTATCTGTTAGTGCGGCAGATATTGAGGCAAAATCCCTAATGAACCTCCTATACCGGCAGTGCCGAGGAAGCTGCGAACTTCTCTCGGTGACTTCGGTACGGGGATTTTTAATATGGCGGCGAGCTTCTCGGGGTCGGTTTTTAGGCAACCATTCCCAATGATAAATCCCAGATATCTCAACTCCTTAAAACAGAAGAGTGATGTCTTCAGGCCTATTGTCAGGTTTGCCTTGTGTAAACATTCGGATACTTCCTTCAATAATTTAATATGATTCTCAAAATCGTCAGCTATGATTAACAAGTCGTCCAGATATACGAAGATGTTTAACTTTAACCTCCCTGGTATCACCTTATCCATAAGCCTTTGAGCCGCATTACATAGACCAAACGGCATAACCCTAAATTGGCCTCGCTTCGTCCTCCAGCTCTATTTGCCAGAAGGCATACTTCAGGTCGACACTGCTTATGTAGTGGGTTTGGTCTATGCAGCTCAGGATACCATCTATGTTCTGGAGGGGGTACGCATCTTTGATTGTCAACGCGTTCAACTTTCGCGCATCCAAGCAGAACATGGTGCGGTTACTCCAAGCTGAATCACTTTCCTCTATGACGTTGAGTGCTAACATGTTGTCGATCTCTTTGTAGACAATTTCTTGGACAGTCGGAGAGAGGGGATAGTGCTTATCCTTGATTGGATTAGCCCCTTCTACAAATTTTATTGAGTGTTTTTCCAACATGGTGCACCCTAAACCAATCTCTTCGAAAGTCGGAAAGCTTTTTATAACCTTGTATAGTTTTGTTTCTTGATCCTCGGTTAGTTTGTGCATCTTAGGAATTTTATTTTCGGCATCACCATGTAGGTTTCTTTGCAAATTTATATCAATTTGTTCAATCGGAAATATGTGTGGAGCGATTTTAAACAGTTCCCAAAACTCTATTCCGAGGTATAAGTCCTGTTCTAAATCAGGGCATAGGTATAGGGACATTTCATGGATTTTGGTTTCGTATTCGACATCAACTGTTATCTTTCCAGTACCCTATGTCTTTGTCCAGAAGCAGTACTGACATCGGACATATATAGACTGACTTCTATACCTAAATCTTCCACAATTTCCCTAAAATTTTTCCTAATATACTGACTGTGGCTCCGGAATCGAGGAGACCTTTAATTGGTTTTCCACCGATCTTCACCGTTGCATATGACCTAGGATCTTTATAGTTTTGAAACTTTCTTATTGCTTCTATCACTGACTTTTTCTGGTTCTTTTCATTGTTATGGGTTATGGTTCTTTTCATTGTTCTACCTTGGCAGGGGTTTCTGAGTGGCGGGTTGATCGGCGGAACGATGGTTCTCCGCTGAAACCTCGTTCGCTTTCCCGTTCTACATTCACTACATTTCGGAGTAATGGTGTTTGGCTTACCACATTTAAAGCAAAATCTATTTCTGTGTGACCCAGTGCAGTTCCGAAATACATGCCCAGCATAATATAGATATACTTATAGCGGATAAATCAAGGATTTCATTATTTTCCTCCAATAATTTACCATCGTCATCCTCCACTTCTTCCTGGAGCGCGTTTATTTTAAATGCTTTGTTTACGGTTGGATGTAACATCGGGGCTCTATCCCTACGAAAAAATGTTCTTTCAATTTCAAGACATTCTATTCGCAGCTGTTCCAGAGATGAGACTGGCATGGAATATACTATAGTGGACAGGTTTTTCTGCAGATTCTTTTTCACCAGGGATATCATCTCGAATTCTGACACGGACTTTTCTAGTTTCGACCTCATTAGACTGATGTCGTGAAAGAAGGCATCGATAGATTCCTCGGTTGCTATTTACGCTCCAAAAGGTCTCTCATCTCTTCGAAGCAGGTACGTCGCGTTTTAAATCTTTCTAATAAACCGTGTTTTAGTGATTCCTAATCCGAAATGTTATCATTTTTTTGTTGTAACCAGAACCAGTCATATGCTGGTCCCGATACCAATATATGAAATTCATTTAAAATGTCAGACCATGCCAGACGATAATGCCTTTGGAAATATTCCAATCGATAAACAAAATCTTCCGCGGACAAACTATTTGGTTTACCGGAAAAATTTAATCTAAACCTCTCTACTTTGACACCATGGCTACTCGAAGCACTCATAAGTGATGGTATTACTCTGGTAGTCATGTTTATATTGTTTTCCCTGTTTGTGGGTATAGATTGATACATAGGGTTATTAGAAGTGTTCGGATAATTGTTGTTCATAGGGTTATTGTCCTGCATAGGTCTATAAGCAGGCATAGGGTCGTGTTCAAGAATGGGATTGTTTTGGGATATAGGGTTGTATGGAGGAACAGAATTGTTGGTGGTCATTTGTTGAGGTATATTGTTGTTCATGGCGTCATCGGTAGGCAGATCAGGATTTGATGGAGGATCTTTCCGTATCTCAATAGATAGTTTTGAGACGGCCTCGCTTAATTTACCTATGACACTATACACTTTTTCTAACTCTTTGGCTACAGTGCCTTGTACCATGTATTGCAAATTAGCTTGCGCGTGGTTTAAGCTTTCTTGCACTAGACTTCTTACCAATTTGTCAACTTCAACCGGGTGTTTTGGTGGATTTGGCTGGGTACTTGTTTGGGGAGAATTGTTGTGTGGTAATCCGGCTGTTCCACTATAGCCAGGGCTGTTATTTAATATAGTATCTGACAAATCCCTTATTGATGGGTCAGTATTGCCCTTAGGCTGTGACATTTTGGAACTTTTCTGGTTTTTCTTTTGTTTGGGTAGTGGTGACGAGATTGAATCTCTGCTCAAATCAAAAAGAGAATTTAATATCGAATTTAAAATTTATGTTGGGCGATAGTAAAATTTAAAAATATTAAAGAAAAGTGGCCAATTTATTTATAGCTTAAAATATTTAAGAATGAGTTAGTTACTATTGGCTTAAAATAAATATAATAAATAAATTGGACCATATAAGTTGTTAGGTAAAAATTATACTAAGATACAGTTACACACAAAAACAAAACAACAATTGAAACAACACACCACACGAACATGACAAGGGAACTTGATGGCATTTATCCCCACACATAGCCCGCCCAACCTTGACCCTTTGATCCATAAACACAAATTTTAAAGGGCCCCAAATTCCACACACACTTACCTAACGCGAAACCTACATCCTAGTATCCTCTCTCACAAACAAAAATTAGCACATCATATTAATATTCAAACTTAAAAATAACATTTATTTTAGATATTGTCATTATCAATTAACCTATGAACATAAAACATTTAGAATCATAAAAACTGAACTACTAATACCGAATAATCTTAGAATAAGAAATGCGAGTCACTGACTCAGATTAACACCTTTCTTATACGCGACAACCAATGGGCTATTAACGACAAAAAACACACAATTGACCTACCTAAAAGAGCTCTCTTAAGCGGCGGACGAACTTTTCATTGATAGGTCGATATATTTAAAGTATTTCTCATATAAATTCGTCAAGGGTTAATCCTACACTCGCTACATAAAAGGCATCGGCATTAATAACCCTTACAAAAAACTTAAACACTAAATCATTGAATAAGGACAACACACAATTAAAACTTAAAATACATTAATATAAAATTAGTATTACTTTATATAATTAATTTCTTTATTTTATCTTCTTCTTTTTTAGGTTAAAAGTTCATTGGGTTTTAAGGCCGCAAGGAAAATTCAAATTTCGGAGTTATCAGCACGGTGTGTAACAAAAATGTTACCTGGTCATCCCGGATACAACAAAAAGGGCATCACCACAGGCTCACGGGATTTACCAGTCACTTATGCCGCTCCTCGGACTGGTCAAATTTTCGATTCTGGATTTTTGTCCAATTAAATTATTGAAAAATCTGCCCATTTGGAAAATTGAGGAGGACAGTCAAATCGTTGTTAACTGTTGTGGTACAATCTTAAAGGACAAAAGAAAACCCACCGAGCACCAGTCAGTAATAGACAAAATTAAGATTCACCATCAACACTTACTTTTATGTTTGTCTTCCCAAAACATGGATTAACACTCTTCAATAAAATAACTCAAAATTCGAACAAATTTATAAATCGTTTTATTTTTCTGTTTTAATATTTTCTTGGTGTAAATGTTGTAGTATCCCAACGTATAGGTTAGGCGCGGCACTTAAAACTTTAGCGCGTTTTCCTACTTGGCCTCCATTTATACCCCTTGGTGAACTTTGAATACCCTCCACTTTTTGGAACGTATTTAAAATTTTTCAAAAAATTAAATTCTTAAAAAATTCTGTTAACATTTTAAAAATACCAAATATAGCCGTCTATTGGGGTCTATACGACGTGGACCTACATAGGCATTGTTTATCATAAGCCATTACCATATTCAAACTTGAAATAAACAGTGAATAATGTAGCTTAAATCGTCAAAATATCGCATATAGGAGGTACCGTTATATCGGAGCTGTGCGAAGACCTGCACCTGCATAGACAATTATCAGTCACAGGCTGTAGCATCCATTACGAACTTCAAATACCACATCTCAAACACTTTCGATGGGTATTGTACCAAAAATCGTCAAAATACAGAATATAGGGAGGTACTGATATATGGGGCCTATACGAAGACCTGGACCTACGTAGACAATTTTCTGTCACAGATTGTAGTTCTCATAACGAACTCCATATACGTAATTTGAAACAACTCTGGTGAATAATGACGCAAAAATCATCAAAATACCGAATATTGGGTGGTACCCTTATATGGGGGCTATAGGAAGACGTGGACCTGCACAAACAATTTTCTGTCTTAAGGTGTAGTATTCATTTCGAACTTCAAATACCAATTTCCAATTTACCAAGTCATCAAAACACCGAATATAGGGAGGTACCGTTATATGGGGGCTATATGAAAACGTGGACCTCCATGACCCATTTACGAACTTAACCTGCCTACTGGAAAAATAAACATGTGTTCATGATTTTAGCCATCTATCTCAGTTCATTCGAAAGATAGCGTGATTACAACAGACAGACAGACGGACATCGCTAAATCGACTTAGAATTTTACGCTGATCAAGAATATATATATACTTTGTTGGGTCTGACATGAGTATTTCGAGGAGTTACAAACGGAATGACAAAGTTAATATACCCTCCATAGTATGGTGGAGGGTATAAAAATACCTATGCGAAATTTGTCGAAATCTCTTAAAATTTATACATAGCCCGACAGAGACATATGCAGGGGTGGGTTATATATTTTACACGGAAAATTTTTTTTTTTTTGCAATATACAGTAATAGTTTACAGACACTTCGGCTTTAAAATTAAGTTAGAGCCTACAAAATAATAAAAACCGCAAAGCACCAAAAAAAAAAACTAAAGAAAGACTTAAAGTTGGGCGGGCCGACTTTTTGATACCTAACACCTCTTTGCATATTTAGTAGAGCTTCACATAACAAAAAAAAGTTTTTATGAGGAATTTGTGAGAACTAAATCATACTAATTACGATTATAACTATAATTAAAAGTCCAAAGGAAATAATATACGAAAGGAATATCCTCCCCTGAATCGATCTCTAATGAATTTGCAGGAACATTTTTGCCTTTCAATTCCAGCTTGTATTATCCGATTAGCAATTACAATTACCTTGAAATCGGGTATAGATATATATGCTAGCTATATACAAATCTGTACCAATTTCGATAAAATTTGGCAAAGGTATTTTTGAGCTGTATTTTCTAGAATATGATTGTTAAGAAATGGATATTTCGGGCTGTGGCGAACAAATATAACAGATCGGAAAACCAATATATATGGGAGCTATAGCAATATCTGAACCGATTTTCAATAAATTTGAAATATTTTCTAGGATCAATTTGGTCGAAAGTGCCAAATTCCACGCCATTTGGGTAAATATTACACGTTTGGTGCACAATAAAAGGAAAATCGGACGAAGATATAAATGGGAGCTATAAGCAAACAAGAACCGATCTAGATAAAATTTAGCAAAGGTATTTCTGAACTGTATTTGATATACTATCCCAAATATCGTTGTTACAAAGTGCATATTACGGATTCGGAGGACAAAAATAACAAATCGGATGAACAATATATATGGGAACTGTATTTATATCTTATCCGATTTAGGTCAAATTTGGCATACAAATTTCCAGGCTTAATATGGTCGTATGTGCAAAATTCCGTACTATATGGGCTGATATTAAACGTTTGGTACACAATCAAATGAAAATCAGACGAATACATAATGGGAGCTATATCTAAATTTTTACCGATTATCTCCAATTTCAAATTTCATAAGTCATTTATGCAAAATTTCATCTAGATCGGGCTCTACGTCAAATTATGTGGGCTGTATCGTAATTTCAACAGAGGGACATTGTTAAATCGACTTTATGGTGATCATGAATATATATACCTTATGGGGTCTACGACGAATATTTAGGGATGTTACAAACCGAATGACAAACTTAATATACCCTCCTTTTCAATGTGGGGGGCATAAAAAACGAACGTTTTATTCCCTCTACCTTGAGGTGGAACTCAATACTCAAAAGGATTCTGTAAATGTCATCGAAATCGTTTGTAGAATGACTTTGGCGTACGTTATATGGGGCAAAAACATTGGTAATCTGTATAGCAAAAAGATAATCCAAAACACATTGTTTATTGCATTTCATGGTCACATATCTAATTGGAAAAAACACAACAATTTTAAAATAACGATATAAATGTATTTACTTACCAGCATTGCATTTATACTGTAATGACCTTTTCTTTTATAGTAGAGGGCTTTCAATTCGCCCCCTGGCGACTTGATGCGGATATGAGTGACATCAACGCATCTAACGATTCCAGGGAACATAGTTTTTTCATAGAAAGCCTCCATTATGTTTCGTTCCTCTGTGAATGTCGGCTTTTTTATCCATTGGCCACAAATGTGGTTCTCAAAATTCTGCAGACATTCAGCAATATTTCTGCTTACCTAAATTCTGCTGGTAGCATTCTATCGTCAAAAACCGCAAGAATGTTCCAAGTTTTAAATCGAGGCGTATTTGGGTTTTCCTGTAACCGGGAACCAATTTCTCTTGTAGCATATCTAAGAGAGCCCGAAAAACTTCCTTCGACACACGAAAATTTTCCACAAACCTTGGAAAATACTTTTTTTATTATTTCAAAAATGTAAAAATACAACCATACTTACGGTTGGTTGGTACTTCAAACAAATTCGAAACATCTTTTTAATACCTCCGTGGTACATTTTGAAGCTCCTCCACATGATCCACAAAGTATAGGGCTACAGAAATAATAATTTTTTTTATTTTTTAAGAACACAAATAATTTGAACACCGTCACTGATAATGTTATGTTGTTTGTTTATTTACAATTTGTTTGTTTGCAACTGAACTGTCAGTTCAGGCAGAGCCAGCTTACGTATGGTTGTATTTTTATTGCTTTTTCGCGTTTAAATTAGTAATTCTGGCGCTTTTTATACCCTCCACCATAGTATGGAGGGTATATTAAGTTTGTTTGTAAGTAAGTTTGTCATTCCGTTTGTAACACCTCGAAATATACATTTTAGACCCCACAAAGTATATATATTCTTGATCAGCATAAAATTGTATGTCGATTTATCAATGTCCGTCCGTCTATCCGTCTGTTCGTCTGTGGAAATCACTCTAGCTTCCGACCGAAATGAAGTAGGTTGATAAAATGTTACTCAATATATATATTATATGTCTGCAGGATTTTGGTATAGCCCCCATATAACGATACCTCCCGATATTCGGTATTTTACTACGACTCACGACAGAAAATTAGCCATCGTATAGCCCCCATATAACGGTACCCCCCATATTCGGTATTTTGATGATTTTAGCGACATTATTTACCAGAATTGTTTCAAATTTGGTATTTGAAGTTCGTAATGGAAGCTACATCCTAAGACAGAAAATGAGCTATGTAGGTCTACGTCTTCGTATAGACCCCATATTACGGTACCCCCATATTCGTATAGCCCCCATGTAACGGTAGCTCCCAATATTTGGCGTTGTGCTGATTTTAGAGATATTATTTACCGGAACTATTTCAAATTTAGAATTTGAAGTTCGTAATGAATACTGCAGCCTATGACAGATAATTGTCTGTGCAGGTCCACGTCTTCACATAGCCCCCATATAACGGTACCCCCCGATATTTGGTATTTTGATGATTTTAGCGGCATTATTTACCGGAACTATTTCAAATTTGGTATTTGAATTTCACAATTAATACTATAGCCTATGACAGAAAATTGTCTGTGTAGGTCCACGTCTTTGTATAGCCCCTATATAACGGTACCCCCGATATTCGGTATTTTGATGATTTTAGCGTATTTTGTATTTGAAAATCGTAATCGATACTACAGGCTATGACAGAAAATTGTGCAGGTCCTCGTTTTATAACCCCTATGGTACCTCCCTATATTCGGTATTTTGATGATTTTAGCTACATTATGAACATATTTTTTTCAAGTTTCGCTTTGAATATTGTAATAGCTTGTGACAAAAGTTGCCTATGCAGGTCCACGTCGTCGTATAGACCCCAATATTCGGCTACATTCGGTTTTTTAAGATTTCAAAAGAATTTTTAACGGATTTTATTTTTTTAAAAATTTTTAAATTTGTATCAAATGGTGGAGGGTATTCAAAGTTCGGCCCAGCCGAACTTACAGCTTTTTTACTCGTTTTGCTTAAATTCGCGACAACACTGCGTTACATAAGGCTATGTGAAAGAAAGAACGAATGTTAGTGAAGGGCATTCTGATACGAAGGTGAGTGACTATCTTTCGTTCGCACAAATTTTCTTTCGATATCGTGGAACAAGCTGGTTTCTTAACTGTTTTCACTTATCAACTCCCAGCTGTTAGTATACGAGTAAAACGTCTTCTCTACTCACCCTATATATGTCCTACTGGTTTAAGTGTGTTAGTTAGTGTTGAAAGAAGAACTTATGAAATTAACTATTTACATCTTTTCTTCTGTTCATCATCAACTCCACTGTATTCGATCTTCAAAACCATTTTTAGAATATATTTTTTTATCCAGTTAGCAATTTAACAACAATTTTATAAATTCGTAATGATGCGAGGATACTATATACAATCCTACGAACTAGCTGTGGGCTGGGATCAGCTCGTGGCGTGTGGGAATCAGCCGGAAACCGCTTTCCTCCGTTTGCGACTCTGTGGAATCGGCTTTTCCCTGGCGGTTAATCAGTAGCCGAAACCTCAGATTACACACATCCACGATTCTCTTAAATTGTTTTCCTCGAAAACTGTAACTAGAGCCGCATGCGAATGTGCCTTTGCAGTCCCTGTTTGACCTCCTCCGTCCTCATCGTCGCAGTCGTCACCCAGGACAATAACGCTGGGCAGCGGCTGCCTCGCCGCTGTGGCGTTTTCGGCTCTTCGTCC